TGGCTAAACATTACATACCTTGGCATATGCAAGTTTCTATAAACTTACATAGGTATCATTTTTTAAACACCTTATCTATTACTTGTATACATTTTGAATCCATTAAGCTACATAAAAATTTATGTAAAGATAACACCAGGGGTGGATTCTGATGGTCTGTTGCCACCAGAAGGCAGTGGAAGGGGTCTGCTGGGCGGGCACAGCCCCCGCGCGCCCTCTCCCTCCATGGCCGCCCTCTGGTTCTCCGGCAGCACCCTGACATGTACGAGCGGGCCGTGCTTCGCAAGCCCCAGCAGAAGTCGTTTGGGGTGACCGTGGATCTCTGGAGCATCGGGGTGACCCTGTACCATGCCGCCACTGGCAGCCTGCCCTTCATCCCCTTTGGGGGGCCGCGGCGCAACAAGGAGATCATGTACGGTGGGCCGCGGGCAGGGTCCGGGGCCTGGCCTCCCTCCCTGGCCCTGCCATGTCCCCGCTTCTGCCTCTAACTCTGTGGTTCTCCTCTGGCCACCCGACCCGGCTCCTCTAACATCCTTGCCTATCAACACCTGGCTGACGGGGACCAGCCAGACCCCTTATCTGAGCTCCATGCCTCCCTTTAGCCCCCCACTGGCTGCTCACCTCACCTCAACCGGGGCTCCAGGGACACTGACTGTCAGGGCAGAGGAGGGCAAGACCAGCATCCAGGTCCCAGGTCCTCCCAGGCCCAGCTGTCTGATACAGAAGTAGCTGGAGACAGTGCCGCTCCCACTGTGTGCATGGCCCAGAGCAGAGAGATTTAAGGCTGACGCACAGGCAGGTCCATGCACCCGCCCTCCGCTCGGGTCAGCCGTGCGGGAGCTGCTGAGGGTAGGGAAAGGGCACGGATGGTGCTGTCGGGCGGGTTGGACATTGAAGGAAAGAGAACAGTGACGTGGAGGAGGAGGATATCTGGGCCAAGCACAGCTCACGCAGAGGTGTGGAGGCAGGCCCGCTGTGGATGCGCGCCAGGGGACAGAGGGGCTGGACAGTGGGGGCAGCAGGGTTGGACTGGGGAGCACTGAGGCCAGGTGCTCTGGTTGGCTGAGAGCCAGGACTCTCAAATGCCATTGTCAGGCTGCCGTGGAGTAGCTGGGGGGCTTGCACCAGGGCTCTGAGCCCTCCATGCTGAGTTTGTCACCCTCTGACGCGTGATGGTCTGGAGGTCCCACTGACCTGGTCCTACCTCACTTACCCAGGTACCGGATCACCACGGAGAAGCCGTCCGGGGCCATTGCAGGCACCCAGAGGCAGGAGAACGGGCCCCTGGAGTGGAGCTACGCCCTCCCCATCACCTGCCAGCTGTCCATGTGAGGGTCAGACACAGACGCGTCTGGGTGGGGCGTCCTCTCGGCTGAGGCCGGTCCCGGCAGGGCCCCTCGCATCTGCCCACCACCTTCCCTTTCTGACCTCAGTCTTTCCATCCGGAAGCTGGACAGTCCTCCCAGCCCTTCCTCCCCATCCCACCCTCTGTCACCACCTGGGTCCTGGCTCTCAGGACGTCCTCCTGGGATGCCCCTGTCACCTACTCAAGGAGGACAAGGCTGGGCTCCCGGCCCTGACAGCCCCCATGTCCCGGGGGCAGGGGCCTGCAGAGCCAGCTGGTGCCCGTCCTGGCCAACATCCTGGAGGTGGAGCCGGCCAAGTGCTGGGGCTTCGACCAGTTCTTCGCGGAGACCAGTGACATCCTGCAGCGAGTCATCGTCCACGTGTTCTCGCTGCCCCAGGCCGTCCTGCACCACGTCTACATCCACGCCCACAACACGTGAGTGGGCACCATGCTGGAGGGAGGCCCAGGACCTTCTCTGCCCAGGCAGACGGGCACGTCCGAGGCGGCGTCCTGGGGAGTGTTTCGATGCGGGTGCTCCTGGGTCCCATCTCAAACCCCACTGTCAGGCTGCCTTGGCGTAGCTGGGGGATTTCACTTACGAAAGTCCTAGTTCCACCGAGTTAACGTGAGCCAGGCCTCCTCGCAGCTGCTCCCGACTCAGCGCACGCCCACGCGGCTTCGTGTGCGTTATGATCCCTGGGTGGGGTGCCTGCCCGGTGGTTCCCAGATGGGTGGCTGGAGAGTTTTGTGGAACCGGGTGCGTTTTAGTGGGAAGAGGTGCCAAGGCAGAGGCCGGCTATGGGGCTCCTGAGTTCTGCTTCCACTCCCTCCATCCACTGAAACACACGAGCTCTCCCCTGGTCTCGCCACCACTGATAAGAAAGAAAAGTCACCCGGTCCCTTCCTCTGAGGAGCTGCGCCCTTCGCATGGATGCAGTCTTAGCTGGGGTGTGGGTCCCCCTGCTGACACTTCCTCTCCTTGCTGTCCCCCCTCCCCCTGGCGTGCCCAGGATAGCCATCTTCCTGGAGGTCGTGTACGAGCAGACCAGCGTGGCCCCCCAGAACCAGGAGTACCTATTTGAGGGTCACCTCTGTGTGCTCGAGCCCAGCCTCTCAGCACAGCACATCGCCCACACGACCGCAGGAGCCCCCTGACGCTGTGTAGCGTGGCCACTGAGATCCCTAGGGCCTGGCCTTTAAGGACTCGTGAGTAGAGCCACGCCCGCTGGACTCTGTCTCCTCCACTCCCTTCTCCTCCCAGAGGCAGGATGTGGATCCGTTTCCTTGGGGGGCCCACAAGGGCGACCCCCCAATTCTGGGTTCTAATTTTTGCATACCCCCCTTAAATGCAATATCCCTACGAGGCTTGTAGGCACAACTTTCACGAGGTTCCAGAGCCCT